CGGAACAGCTGATATACAAACAGTGTGACTGATGATTGAGCAACCACGCCAAAGCAGCCTACAAGAAAAGGTGAGACCAGCGCCCTTATCCGGAGTTCTAAATACATCACATTTTCACAACCCTAAACTGTCTGCTCAGAATCCTACTCAAGTCTATCCAGTGGGGCTTATGCCCAGGAAAGCGTTCATAAGATTGCATCCCTTGTGATGCAAGACAGAAATGAGAGACAGACATAAAATCAAATGCACATTCTAGTCAAACATAACTTTGCTTTTAATCTGCAGAGGGATCACATGCAAAAATCGACATATTTAACTTGTGGGGACAACCGCAGTTGTGCTAGACATTAGTGTGTGTTAGAGCCACTAAGAAATGGTGTACCACAACGTCCAAGAGAACGGGATGGGAGCCAAAGCGTTCTCAGTTCAGTTCTCACCTCAGCTGCAAACTAACCAGGTAGACTCCAGCCAAGCTGTTCACCTCTCCATTTCAGCTTGACGTCGGCAAGACTAGGAAAACGACAACTTCACTGTGATAAAATGGTGTGGCTGTAGCAAGATCGAATGCGAGAGCTCTTAATTCTTCCAATGCGCCATATAAATGCTAAGCACCTTTTTTTTTATCGTCCACATCATACGTTCAAAGCAGAGCATAATTTTATAAATGGCACCCATGTGTGAAAATTGTGGCTTTTGCCCAAAATACCCACCAGAAAGGAGTTCCCCCAGCCATTACTCCTGTGTACTTTGCAAGCAAAAACGGCTATTTAGACACAAGTGTCCTTCGTAAGTGACACTTTGCACATACATTTCTATGCCTGCGAATGGGTTTCCGGGGGCAAAATGCAATTTATGAAATGACTCTTAAAAGCTTTTCGAGACACTAGCTACTGCAAAACGGTGCTGAACTCTAACATATAAGAAATAACACTACTCCCTAAACCAACCAACTCGCATTAAAACATGCCCCAATTTAACTGGGGGCAGAAACTTCTTTCACTCCTCTCTCTCATCTTACACAGGAACCAAGACAGACTTCGTCAAACTCCTAGTTTAACAGAACAGTCTAATCGCCTCCCGCAGATGGAACGATTACGAACAAAGATCTCTTGGGAAGAGAAAGTATTCTGTGTAGGGCAGGCTCACAACTAGGGACTGGGAAATTCCTGGATGTTGGGAGTGAAGCTGTGGGAAGGCACGGTTTAGAGAGGAGAGGGGCCTCCGTAGGTTAAATTGCCATACAGTCCAATCCTGAAGCCGTCATTTTTTTCCCCCTGGAGGAACTGATCTCTGTAGTTTGGAGATCAGTTGTGATTCTGGGAGATCCCCAGGCCCCACTTGGAGTCTGGTCACTCTAATCCTGTGCCATAAATAAATAAATGTATTCATTTATTTATGTATGGCTGCGAGAGTTGGACTATAAGGAAGGCCGAGCGCCGAAGAATAGATTCTTTTGAACTATGGTGCTGGAGAAGACTCTTGAGAGTCCCTTGGACGGCAAGAAGATCAAATCAGTCAATCCTAAAAGAAATCAGCCCTGACTGTTCCCTGGAAGGCCAGATAATGAAACTGAAGCTCAAATACTTTGGCCACCCAATGAGAAGGGAGCACTCGCTGGAGAAGACCCTGATGCTGGGAAAGATTGAAGGTCAAAGAAGACGGGGACGGCCAAGGATGAGATGGTTGGACAGTGTCATCGATGCAACGAACATGAAACTGAGCCAACTTCAGAGGACAGCGGAAGACAGGAGGGCCTGGAGGGATCTAGTCCATGGGGTCGCGAAGAGTCGGACTCGACTGTGCGACTGAACAACAACAAATTCATTTGCTTCATGTGTACCTCATCATTCTCCTCTCCTCCATTTCATCCTCACAAGAGCCCTGTGAGGTAAGTTAGCCTGAGTGTGTGGGACTGGCCCAAGGGGCACCCAGAGCAGCGGAGTGGGGATTCAAACTGCCTTTCCCAGATCCTCGTCTGACATTCTGCCCACTCTAGGAAAACTCCGCTCCTGAAGTCGTTTTGATCTATTCACAAGGGCCACCGGAACGGAAGGTCTGTTTTGTCAAAGGGGAGCTTTCAGCTCTACTGGTCTTTCGACCACTACTGGATACCCAAAGAGGGCCCCGGCCTGTAAGTGTGGCTGCCAAATCGCCGAAGCTGACCGTGAATCAACATGACACCAAGGAACTACATCCATCGCTAAGGACTTTGAGACCAGTGCCAGCTCCAGGTCCTCTGAGGCCCGCATTTGCTGCCTTAACCTGGGAATGCGAATACAGAACGCATGTACATCCCCTCCAGCCTCCTTGGCTGCTCTGTGGGAAAGGAAAGCGGCAGCCCTGTTGAGGTGGTGCGCCCTCTGCTGGCCTGGAGGACCTGGCAAAGGCCTAACCCTGCTGCCTTCTGTAGAGCCAATCCTATCTGTGCCAGGCAGGGGAGACAAATTCCTCTACTCCTCCTGGTCCCCTGGCATGAGTATAAGATGACGGGAGGGCAACGCTCAACCTCTTCCTTTGCACCATGCTTTGAAAATATTCAGAAGGCGTTAGAGTCCCTCTTGGTCTAAATGCCAACCAAAACTTGTAGACTTCAGAGGACCAGACACACACTCTTATTCTCCAAGATGTCTTTTCTTTAAAAAAAAGGAAAAGGAGATCCCCCACTGATTAATCATTTAGCGTTCCCTAGCTTTTTCTTTGTGTGTGTTTTTTTTTTTAAATTAATATGATTTTAAGAAGACTGCAAAGATCTTCATGCAGCTGAAGCTGCAAAGGAGGCTAGTCACTAAATATGTTCATTACCATTACTGTTTACTTTTTATGGACCCTTTTCTAAACAATGTCATTAAAGGGGATCATCTCATCCCAAGACAAAATAGCATTCAAGTTGCCTAAGCACTCAAAGTCCTGCCCTGGACGGCCCAGGCTAGCCAAATCTTCTCCGATCTCAGAAGCTAAGCAGGCCCTGGTTAGTATTTGGAGAGGAGACTACCAAGGAACTCTAGGGTTGCTACGCAGAGGCAGGCAATGGCAAACCCCCTCTGAGTGGAAAACCCTTTGGGGTCACCATGTCAGCTGCAGTCTGATAGCACTTTCCACCAAATACTCAAAAACCTTCTCACGCATAATTGGTTTTGGGTCTTTAGTTTCACCGATGAATTGGAAGATGACAGAGCAGCCCTTTCTCCCACTCACACCCTGCTCCCCCCTCCCTTCCTCATACCAGGGTTGTATCTAGACTAAACTGACAACATTCACCGATTCCCTCTTCCTGCTGCAGAACCGGCCCTCCAATGTCATTGCTTGGGGTCCCCCTCTCCCCCCAGAGCAGCATTTTGCAGAGATCAGTGGACATAGTGGGGGGGGGCAGGAAATTCCATTCCACTGATGGAAGATTGAGGCTGGATCCAACCCACAGCAAACACTCAGGATTCCAAGCATGTGGCGCAGCAGACCGGAGTGCAGACTAAAGGACCGGGGAGGGTGGCAAAAAGGAGAAGATGATCAGAGGAAGCCGTCCCTGTGTTACATCTCTATTCAGCCATGAATCTAAAACCAAAAGGAGCAATTTCCAAGTTGCTGTTTGCGAGCCCTGAGCTCAGGAGTCCCTACAACACACCCCTGGAAGGTTACAGGATGAAAACCATTCCCATTTTGTCAGAGGGAAAACCGAGGACGAGTTGAAAAGTAGCTTGCTTAAAGCCCAAATAGTGCAACCACGGCTCATGTGAGACTGGAATCCAGCAGAGAGTTCCCAACACAAAGCAAAACAGGATTCTGGACATGGCCTCACACAATTTGTCTTCACGACTCAAGTACAAGCAATTTGAGACGGATTACAAGAGAGCCACACCGCAAGTTTCAGAACGATGCTTGACCTTCTCTGTATAAATTATATTCTCTCTTTTTTAAAATGGATGTTGTTTCAGACTTTGTTTTTCAGGACAGGTATAAGAGGTGGTAACAATTACCTCTGTACTGAATTGCTTTAAAACACACAATAACAACGGTAACAAGCCGCCCGTGCGCCGACAGTCCTTTCCCTGGAATCCAATTAAATCACAACCTGTCCCAGAAGAGTCCGACATCTCCACACATGAGGAACACTTCCAATATAACATCCACCGTACACTGCAGCGTTTGCAAACAGAAACATCACGCATGACAAATGCGGCCCGAGCAAGAGTTAATCGAGGTGGCGTGCGCAGCACAGGATAGCTGTATTTATAAATTCCGGCACTGAATATTTTACAACCCATCATCGTTCCCTCTGAATAGATCGACACTACAACCAACATGTTTTTCAACAAGTTGGAAAAAAGACTGCATTGGCAGAGCCATTCCTTTCACTTCTGAACCATTCTTAAACTTTCATTTTTTAAAAAAAGATAGTGAATAATTCATTTTATGTTAACATATAATTTCCCCTCCTTCCTAAAAATGACCATCTCCCCCAGAGCTGTAAAGTTGACAGTTATTATCATCAGTTTTTTACAATAAATGGGCTCATTGTGGCACATCCATCTAAGCCAGCAGCCCAACTCTGACGCAACACTGGCAACTTTCTTTCAGAAAGCAGGGGTGCCATCCCAAGAAAGGGAGAGGAATAAAATACCGCTTTCCTTTACAGAAACAAATCCACCATTTCGTACGCCTCAAGACACTCCTCCACTAATGAGCCTCAACCCTAATAACTATTTAGATCCTACCCAACATGACACTTGTCAACAAAGATTACTCTTTCCAGCCGACCCAACATCTCCTCTGCGGAACCAACAATCAAGAGCTCCGTGGTACATTCTATCAAAACACCTCGCTTACACTTGTTCCATTCACCCGACACGACTCCTGCTTTATCCTAAACCCACTTCCAAACAGGACACAACCTCTGTGTCTAATACGCTGAACCAGCCTCCATTCACATTACCCCCTTATTGGCATCCCCACATTTCATACATTCAGTCTGTTTGCTCCTGTATTTTATTTTATTTTAAACATACCTGCAGTTCGGAGGTGGATCCAGAGTGATCTCAGCTAGCTCCTTCTGAATCCTGTTGGCAAAATGAGAACAGACACAAAAGCATTGGAGATAGTCGACGGAATAAATCAGGGAATCACACTGCCCTCTACCATCACGCAGTTAAATGCAAGATTGGTTTTCCCCTCAGTAGCGCTAACATGGCTGCTTCCTCTTTGTTCTCAGAGGCATAACCCAAATCCCAGAACAGAGAAACTTTGCAGCGGTTTTCTGCCCCTTCAGCTGTTACGGTAAACAGACAGAACATTTACACCTCAGCCTGGCAGGAATCCCCAAAGAGTCCTCAGAAAAGTGAGTCTGAGGGATTTCCAGGCACTTTTTATCAAAGGGTTTTTTTCCCTTTTTAATCTTCTATGCAAATGAGGCCAGGAAAAGCAGGAGTGGAGGGAGAGGGGAAATATAAGCACGTTGGAGAATGACTTTATATCAGCATTGCAGAGTTGCTGGAGCCAAGGCAGTTACATAGTAAACAACAGACACTTTTGTGGGGCGGGGGAGTGTTTGCACTACTGTTGATAAGGAAGTTTCAGCATTTCATCCACAAACTCAGTAATTGTGCCCATCAGGTAACTGGAGTTAAACCTGCAAAAAAGTCACTTTTATTTCTCCCCTTCTCTTCCCTCCAAGCCCATGAAACATTTTTTTTATTTGCCAAGGACCTTGCTGAATAAAACAAATACTGATCTATCAATGATAACTTCATCCCCCCATCACAAACTGCGGTAGTAAAGATATCAGAATCTAAAGAGAACAGACAGTTTCATTGGTTTTGTAACAGGTTAAACAGAAGTTGTTCTGCCCCCCCCCCCACCAAAAAAAAAAAACCAAAGAAGCTTTGCTCCTAAAACAATGTTTGGGATTTGATGATAAATCTACACAACTTGGAGCAATTCATTGTTTATCAACAGACGCTTCTTGACAGTGACAAATTGCCCTAGATGTAATTTAGATACTCTGGAGTTGTTCCCTACAACAATTTACACAAGACGTCAAGCTAAACAGCACATGGAAATAAGATTTTACAAGATCAAATATGATGTTAGAAGACAGGCTCGTGGGACCCAAATATATCTCAGCAGCGAAATACACTGTACAAGAACTCTGCCAACAGCTCACAAAAGTTATCTTAAATACATCAGACGTTCTCCCCCAAAGTCACAATTCCTAACATTTCTCAAAATCAAAACACCTGCTACAAGCATCTTTATTTCAAGCCTCTGTTCGAGCAGGTCGCTTTCAATTTTTAAAAGGCATTAAAAACTAACGTGCCCTTCAAACTCCTGCACAAAATTTCAGACCTGCTCATACGTGGATTCCAGTGCAGTATATCCCCCCCCCCAATACAGGGTCCCACTGACAGGAAAACCCACACAGAAACTGCATCACCTCCTGAAACATCTTTGTTACCACTTGTCAGATGTGGTCCTGGACAACATAATGTGAATTCCTAGCTAAAAGAGAACTTCAGGGGAAGGATTTCTTAGTTATCCCCAAAAAACATACAGATTGAGGCATTTTAAGATGGCCCAATTCATGCGCTCACGCAACCAAATCAACAATGCATGTCATCTTGAAATCCAAAATGACAGGGGAAATGTACATATGCAGATACAGAGGTGGAACCCATTGAGGAAACCCCACAAAAGCTTTCTGAAGTTTTTTCGAAACTTCGAATGCAAAAGGACAGTCATTCGTCTCAACTTACAGACCCTGCTGAGATGGGCAGACACTCAAGTGAACCTCTCTATCAGCATTTCAGCCACATGCACAAAAACTCCATCACGTCCCTGTATGCATCTACATACACTGATATGTACCGAAGTTCCCAAATCAAAGCGAAATCCTCCATGTGAAGGATTCGTCTATTAAAGGATCCAACAAAGGCCAGTTAACAAGTGCAGCCAAAAGGTGGATTCTTCCATTCCCTACCCCACCTCCATCCAGGCATTACCCCCCCCCCAAAAAAAAGAAGGAATGAAAGAACGCAGATCCAGGTGCTTGCAGGAATGAATCACCTCCTACGGCATCCCATCACTGGCATGGAATAAAAAGCTGATTTACATAACCAAAATCCTTGAGTGGATCAATGCAAACTCAGCATGCAGCAAGGCGGTCATATGACTGGCTTTCCCACAGGAGCCAGCATGCAACCCACTTCAAATCACACCCACTCCTGCCACTGAGCCTATGAATCTGGATTTGACCCCGACTGCTTGCTACATGGCGCCAAACTCTAGCCCAGATCCCTTCGACCCATATCCGCCATAACACCAACTGGTCCGTGACTCTGAAACAATTCCCCCCCCCAAAAAAAACCTAATTCACAAAAAGCTATTAGGAGGAGACATCCCACCTGACGGACTGGCATCCCCAGCTGAAAGTTCATGGCGTCACTCCACCAACAGTGAGTAACGTTTCCAAGTTTGCTGTTTTTTGTAAGCATCTCCCCTATCAACAGGCGTGTAAAACAAAAACAAAAAGATCTATCAGGTTTGGGGGTTTTATTACCTTTTAGCACTAGTGGATAGCTTAGCAGTAGTTTTGCTGGAGAGTTTAGTATTTTTCTTCTGTTGGGTTGCGGAAGGTTTCCTTTCTTCTTGCTCTTCTGGTTCAGGCGCTGGTGGGTCCCTCTGATCAGCATCTGAACTACCACTGCTGGTACTGGGACTTTCGTCATCGGATCTTTGCCTGTCACTGGACATCTTGGAAAACTTTTTTTTTAAGTGGGAAAGGGGGGGGGGCAAGAAGAGACAAAGAAAGTCAATTAACTCCAGGGAGGGCGACTAATCCTCCTGCCCATCACTCCCTTAAAACTGATCTCGATCATCTGTATGATCCCCAAAAGAAGGTCACAGAAACAGAATCCTCCTTGGAGGCTACAGAGCAACAGTCTCAACAAGGTCGAGATTCTAGTTTCTCAAAAATTATTTTCTTTTGACAAATCCCTCTCACATTCTCCCAGCCCCCCATTCCTCAGACAGTACGTCAATTGTCCACTTTGTTCGAAAGGCTCAAGACAGATTTAGCAGACTGCTCAGGCCACAGGGCATTAATAACTTATGACACGTTGTAAATAGCACGCCTTGCCAAAAAAATGGTGAGGGGTTTTTTTGGGGGGGAAAGTCACTCACTAATACGCAGTAAATATTTACACTGGAGGAGAACGGGTCAAGGGAGTCACCTCCCTCCTTTCCCTCACCTCCCCCCATCCCAATATATTGTCAATAACAACACTTGCGGTACAAATCGGGGGACCAAAACAAAAATTGACATTTTCCCTGCGCGCCTTTTTATTTAAAGGGCTAGCGAGGCTTTGCTATTTCCAGACGCGCCTCGCTTTTCTCTCTCCATCTCGAAATCAGCTCGCTCGGGTTCTCTTTACACCCAGCACCCTAAACAACGACAGGAGAAAAAAAAAATTCATTTGGCCCCACTAAACAGGCTGGGAAGAGAGGCGGGGGGGAGAAAGAGAAGCAGAACCCGAACTGCACCTTCTGCAAAGACTGCAACGCCACCGAGTCTTGATCAGTTTCCACAAAACAGACCGACATGTTTTAATATATATATATTTTTACCCCCTTCTCCGGAAGAGAGAGGAAAAAAAGGAAAATGTGTCTAAGGCATCCAGGGAGGATCCAAAGGATTGAAATGTTGCTTGATAGAAATTAGAGGGAGGAGGGGGGTTTTTTTAAAAAAGAGAGAGAAAGAGAGATGATCTTCCCCGTAGGAAATTGCAGCAGGTCAGAAATTGCAGCTCGCTCGCTCGCTTTCTCTTGCACACACAGACGCACACACAT